AAACAATTATCTCTTCTAGTTACAACCTTTATCCATGTAAAATTTTGCACATGGAGGATGTGAAATGAAATAATTTATTTAGGTTTTATATATACTTTTGAAATAAACAAAAAATCATAAATTACTATATCAGTTCCATAGAATTCCACTAATTTATGAAGCTTGGTAATTAAGTTGTATTTGGGTCTAACAAAATATGATATTTTGAGCAGACTAAAAATTCACCTTACCAGCTTGAAGATTTGTATCAAAAGAATGAGATGATGTCATAATTCTTGAAAATGGTTGAGAAAGCCACTAGGGAGACATTCTGAGCTTTTGATTGGTTATTTACATGTCATAGACAGAAGTAAGTGTATATAAGGGAACATTTCCAAAAATGGAAAGAGGTGAGTGTGGCCACTGTTTGATTAAGTAAATGAGCAATATCTCGGCAAATAGAAAAGATAAGAGGTTCTTATTATATGTTCTAGCTTGTTAATATTGGTAATATGAGATCCTAATTTGTACGAAACTATAGACTTTGTACTTTATCACCACAAACATCAAATTTGAACCAGTGCTGCATTCAACATACCACGTGACACACTAATGTATAATACTAAAATTTGAATTATAACATACAGTTTTATACCAAACTTATTGACATAAATTATAAAAATAGTAGTTCAAAAGAATTTTGAATGCAAGTCAACAAACTCTACTTGATGACATGGTCTTTGACCCGTGACCTGTGTGGAAAGGGTTAATTTAAAGGTTAATATTAAAAAAATCCTAAATATCGATTTTTGTGTGTCACATGGTATGTTGAAATGCAGCACTGGTTGTGATGTCCAAACATAAAGACTATAGTGTCTTATGAATTAGAAACTCCAACCACCAATATTAATAAGCTAGAATATAAAATAAAAACCTATCTTTTTTGTTTGCTGAGATATTGCTACATTTATTGAATCAAACACAGTAACCCCACTCACCTCTTTCCATTTTTGGAAATGGTTACGTACACATACTTCTGTGTATGATGTGTGAATAACCAATCGAAAGCTCAGAATGTTCCCCACATGGTTTTCTGACCCTCTGCGAAGTATTTCTGCAGGAAACCCGTTCTTATATGGTTAGTTCTAAGTGATAAGGTAAGACATTATTGAACTCAAAAAATCATATTTTTTTAGACCTAAAAAAATATGATTTTTTTTTT